GTCTTTCCTGAAATATGAAAATTTCTGAGTCTCAGAACACATTGGACACTAGAAGCCTCTAAGGGAAACTCAGTTTAACAGCCACAGTCCCTGCCTTTCTCACCTAGAATCTAAAATGTCACTGAAACTTTGACTGGAAACCAGAATCCCAAGGACCCAAAACCCAAGGATAGATGGCCCAGGTCATGAGGCAACACCTAGAACCAGGCATTAAGAGCTCTCAGAACCTTCCTCTGACTCATTCTGGAGAAACAAATTAATTGATGTGTTCACCTAAAATCTGAAAGTTCCTTAATCACTTAAAATCTTCAAGTTCCACCTGAGGCTAAAGGGAAACCCTGCCTTTTTTTTTTTTTGTCTTTTTGAGACAGCTTCAGGTGACCTGGAACTCGCTATGTAGACCAGGCTGGCCTTGAACTCACAGAGATCCGCCTGCCTCCGCCTCCTGAGTATTGGAATTAAAGGCATGCGCGCCACCCTGCCTGGCTGGGAAACTGTTTCAAAAAGACCAAAAAAAAAAAGAAGAAAAAATAAAAAGAATCTTAGAGCTCCTTAAAAAGAGAATTTATTTTTCCTTTTCTTTTTTCTTTTTCTTTAAGATACACTCTCATGCTGTAGTCCAGGCTGCTCCGGAATTCATTATGTAGCCCAGGCTAGCCTTGAACTCATGACTGCCTCCTGCTTCAGCTTTTCAAGTGCTGAGCTTGCATGCCTGAGCCACCATACCTGACTTTCAAAATGACATTCTTTTTAGATTAAAAATGAGGTTTGGAAAAAATAAGAGGTCTGGAGCTATAGTGATGTTATCTTACATATACTACGTTGGAGAGGAAGTGCTCTAGTGTCCAGAAAGAGTGTTCATGCACCATTCTGCAGATTTGCCACACTAAATTTGATGGCCCTTACATGAAAATTTTCTATAACTATATTATTACAAATCATTAACCTAGAATTTCTGAAATGAGGTTGCCATAGATATAAATATAAAATACCCAAAAGAGGGCTGGAGAGATGGCTCAGCAGTTAAGAGCACTAGTTGCTCTTGCAGAGGACCAGGTTCTGTTCCAGCACTTAGAGGGTAGCTAATAACTGTCTATAACTCCAGTTCCAGGGGATCCAATACCCTCTTCTGACCTCTGTGGCCATTGGACGACACAGGTGCACTTGCATACATGCAGGCAATGCACTTGTACATATAAAATAAAAAATGGGGGCTGGAGAGATGGCTTAGCGTTAAGAGCACTGACTGCTCTTGCAGAGGACCAGGTTCGATTCCCAGCACCCACATGGCGGCTATGAACCATCCTTAACTCCAGTTCCAGGGGAATCTAAAGCCCTCTGCTGGCCTCTGCGGCATTGCACAACACGGGTGCACTCACATACATGCAGGCAATACAGTCATACACATAAAATAAAAATAATAAAATATTTTTAAATGAATAAAATATTTAAAAACACCCCAGAGATATTGTAGGCATAGGAAGAACTTCAGGCTTTGTACAAATGAAATAATGCCAACATGGCTAAAATTTGCAGAAGACGCATTTTATTGGTTTGGTATCTAGTAGTAATCTGTTCTCCAAATTTGGAATGGGTAGGTAGGCATTAGACTAAAATCTTTTTTCCCCTAGTTTATGTGTCAGTGTATTTGAGGTTTTATGTTTTTATAGAAAGTGTAACTCAGGGTGTCAGGGTAGGTATGCACCGTGTGAACAAAGAGCAAGGGTGTGTGAGAAATAGTGCCTTGCACATCTCCATCTGCACAGGATTCCTCACATTACAGTTTCTGTCACACTCGTCTTTTTTGGAAGGGGGTTGAGACAGGGTCTCCCTGTAGCCCCAGCTGGTCTGGAACTCACTATATAGACCAAGTTGGCCTCCATCCACAGAGGTCACCTGCCTCAGTCCTGAGTGCTGGGATTAATGACATGTGCCACCATGCCCAGCCTCCATCCTAGTTTTTGAAATAAGGCTTCTCACTGAACCTGGAGTCCCCCAATATGACTAGATTAGCTGGCCCGTGAACCCAGGGATCCTCCTGTTTCTGCCTTCTCAGTGCTGGGATTATAGGCATGCATCACCAAGCCTGGCTTTTATGTAGCTGCTGGGGAGCTGAACTCAGGTCCTCAGGCTTGTACAGTAAACACTTTACTGACAGAGCCATCTCTCTAGCTCTGGAGATTTTTGTTTGTTTGTTTGTTTTTGGTGATTAGGTTAGAACTAATTTGCTGAGCGTTAAAAAAAAAATCAGATTGAACATTGCACCAATGCCCTGGCCCTTCTCCATCACTGCATGGGAAGAAGCAGGTGCACCGGGCATGGAACTTTGCTCCCTCCTTCCCCTGTGTCTTTGTAAGATCGAACACCACCACCCAGCTCATCATGGCTGGTGGAGCCTGAGCTCAAGCTATAGATGTCAGTGCCTGCTAGGGTCAGTTAGCAAGTGGACACCACAAATGAGTTGTACAGGGGCAGATCTCAGACTCGGACTATAAACTTCCAGAGCAATACCAGCCAGCCAGTCACTCTGCCCCTTCCCCTGGAGTGTGCAGAGCTGTGGGGTACAAGTGTTGGGAGAGAGCACACTGGCAGGCTGGTCTTAGGGCAGCACAGGAGAGCTTGGCTCAAGAGAGCAGAGGGTGACATCCTTCAGATTTGCCACAGTTTCCTCCCCTGGACTTTGTGAGGGGGAATATGACATTGGTTTAAGGGCTGTTTTCTTTGTAGATTAAGGGAATAATAAGAAACCAATGGGCAGAGTTCAGCTATGGTAAATTGGACAGTCTGTGGCAGTCCCTTGTACCCCCAGTGGATGCCTGGAACTGAGGGCAGCATTGAGCCCTATATACCCTGTGTCTTCCTGTACATAAACACCTGTAATGAGACCTGTTTATCAAGGAAGCACAACAAGGCTAACACCAGCAACAGAACAGTGTAGCTGTGCTTAATACTGTATACAGGGTGGTTCCTTCTCCCAGTGTCTCACCCACTTTCAACCAAACTCCCTCCCTCCCTACATACTTATTTGTTTATTTATTTGTTTAATTAATTAATTTATTTATTGTGTGCACGCACCATGGCACAAGTGTGGAGATTAGCACTTGCCAGAATCGATTCTCTCCTGTCACCATATGAGTCTTGGGGAGCAAACTCAAGTCTTCAGGCTTGGTGGTTAAGTGCCTTTATCTGCCAGGCCATCTTGCTGCCCCTCATCTTTCTTAAGGAAGCACTTACTTGGCGGCTTCTCTTTGTCCTGTCTGAATGCAGCATTCAGCATTTACTATTCTTCTTCCTTTGGGACTTTTTTTTTTTTGGTCTTTTTGAGACAGGGTCTCCCTGTAGCCCCGCTGACCTGGAACTCACTATGTAGACCAGGCTGGCCTTGAACTCACAGAGATCTGCCTGCCTCTGCCTCCCGAGTGCTGGGATTAAAGGCATGTGCTACCACGCCCGGCTTCCTTGGGACCATTGTTAAGTGAACAAGGCTTACTTGAACACAGCATGGTCATATGAGGCAATGACTGATAACTTAGATGGTTAATTAAGATGATTAATGGTGGATATCCACCCCAAATTCAGGATGAAAACTTCACCATTTTGCCTAGAATGGGGGTGGAGTTAGAACTCATGGGTAGTTTACCTTTGGGATTTTTTACCTACTACTGTTCTCTGCAGATGATTTGGGGTGAGGTTACCAAGGATAGGGGAACTATTCCTGTAACATTAGAAAACCTGGGCTGTGTGGATTGCTGTCTCCATGCAGAGGCCCTATGAGGACTGAGTAAAGCCAGTGTTTCCTCAGGAAGTGACTTGGCACGTGCTCCAGGATTTGACTCTGCTTCAATGAGGCCTCATGGGACCTGTGTTTCAGCAGTGGAAGAGGTGTTTTTGGCTTAAAGCTGTCGCAGACACGTGTTAGCTGTCATCCTCTGTGACTGCAGGAGGATGGCAGAGATGTTTGCATGAAACTTCTCATTTGCGGCTGCTTGTCCTCAGAGTCTAAAGTCTGTGGTAAACTAGCTGATTAACTCTGTGGGACTATTGACATTGATCACTTATATATTGGATGGAAGAGGACTAGGAAATGCAGTTATTTTTGTTCTCTGATTAAATTTTCAACCTTTTTTCCTGACAGTGAGTAAAAGGCCTGTTTTTAGGTTTCTGTCAAGAAGATTCTGGAAGGCCCTATTGGAAGATGTTCTTCTCTGGGAGGTAGAGTCAGGTGGCATTGTTTGTGAGAGCAAACGAGGCACACCCGTCATTATCCACAGACAGTGTAATTGGGTATCTATGTACTCATAGAGCCGCAGGAGAACTGCCAGGAAGCACAGCGTGTAATTAGAATCTAGCAGAGTGACTAAACATTGCCCTCACACTTGAACGCCAGTGAGAAGCTGCCACAGGGCAGCACGTGCCTGGTCTCCAGGTCCATGAGGTAATGGAGGTGCTCTCGAGGAGAAATGCACAGGGTTCACCGAAGGAGACTATCAAGATGCCACTGAGGAGGTTAAAGGATACTTGAGCTCACAGGAAGTGTGCTGAGTTCTGTATAGGAGACTGGAATATCATGGAAGTGTTACTTACCAAATTCCATTTAAATATTGGTGCAGCTTTACTTAAAAGCCCAATGGGATTAAAAAAGTGACAATGTGGTTAATTTGGAAAAAACACATATAAGGATTAAATAGCTAAGTACATCTTAAACATTTTTTGAAGATCACCTGCCCTTCAGTCATTGTGTAAGGTGTGATGGTTCACCTTCATTGTCAACTTAAATTGATTTAGAATGACTGTGGAAACTCACCTCTGGCTGTGTCTCTAATTGTGTTTCCAGAAAGGTCTAACTTGGGAAGGAAGACCAGTCCTGAGTGTGGGTGGCACCAACCTGTGGGCTGGCTTCCCAGACAAAACGAAGCAGGCTGCTGAGCTGGCTTGTCTCGCTGCTTTCTGAGGATGCAGTGGAACTGGCCCCTCCTGCCTCCATGATGGACTGTACCCTCAAACTGAGCCACAGTGAACCTCCCTTCCTTCAGTTCCTGAAGTGTTTTGTCAGGGCAGCGAGAACGGGCACTGACACAGAAGAGGAAAGTCGGGAGCATGAGCTTGGACTCGTGAGCAATGGTGCTGGGTCCTGGGTCAGTCACTTGCCAGCAGACCTTGTTACTCAGAAGGAGCCTGGAGGTGTGAGGTCAGGCAGAGTTAGTGGAAGGGAATTGGAACAAGTGATTTTTTTTTTTTAAAGAAAAAATATTAACCCTAATCTGTATCATTGTCAAAATAACCCCCAGTCAAACTAAAGGGTCAAATGTGAACAAAAATAAAATGCCAGGAAAAAAAAAGATGCGTGCTCACTCCTTCAGCACCTGGGCTTTGCCGGGATGCAGCACCTCAGTGGCGCATGGAAGGGTGTACAAGGACGCCCCAGACTGGAGATTTACCTGAGACCCCAGGAGAAAAGTTGGGAGAGCAGGTAGGCCTGGAGATGGGGAGTCTCAGGCAGATGGGACCAAGGCTTTGAGGACCTAGAGGATGTCTGGTGTGTTCCATGGAGAGCTGACTTTGAGCACAAGGACCGTCAAAGCAGGGCAGCAAGCTGCAACATTCAAAGCATGCCTTTGTGGGTGTGCAGCGTGTGTCCAGGCAGCTGTGCCTGTATGTGTGCTTACACAGGCAGGACATGACTGGAGCCCAGGGAGAGCTTTTGGTGGTTTACAAAGAAGTGAACACACTTGGAGATGTTCTATGTGATAGGGTGTAAGGGGGTTGGAGAGCTCTTGAGTGTAGGCCGCTACTGCCTGGGAGGGGAGGCAAGGAGGGAGGCCTGGCCTGGTGCCTGGTTCACAACCTTGTGTCATGTGCTCCCCTACAGGGCTTTGTTTTCAAGGCAGACTCTCACTGCAGCTCAGGCTGAAACTCAGTCTCCCTGCCTCAGTCTCTCTGATGGTGGGATCACAAGGGTATACCATACAGGACTCACTGCAGGATCTCCTCCCCTCAATTTTTTGTTTATTTACTTTCATGTGTATGAGTGTTTTACCTGCATGTATGTTGGTGGGCCCATGTCATACAATGCCTGAGGAGGCCAGAAGAAAGGGGTCGAGTCCCCTGGAACTGGAGTTAAGAATAGTTGTTACATGTGGGTGCTGGGAACCAAACCCAGGTCCACTGCAAGAGCGGCCAGTGTATCTCTTCAGCCCTAGCTGCAGGATCTTTACTTCAGATTTCCCAATGTGTTCCTACCACCTGTGAATAGGTGCTCATGCCCTGTGGATACGCGTGTGAAGGGTACCTTCCAGATTTTCTGGGCTGGGCTGCTTACTGTGGGAGCAGTAGATAAGGAACAGGTATGGAGGGAGGCATGCCAGGCCATGGGTCCAGTATGCTGTTGTGCCAAAAAGCTCAGATCACAAATACCAGCTGAGAGAGAGGGAATAGGAGTAGTATAATGTGAATGCCATCTTTAGTGTGTAGAGAGTATGTGAGTGTTGGAAAGCAGTCACCAGTGCCAGGGAATAAATGACAGAGTAACTAGGAATGAGGAGTGGCTGATGGGGACGAATGTAGACAGTGAGCACATCCTGGAAGACAGTGCTCAGTCCTGCTAACAAGATCTAAGTCACCCTGACTCCTCCTCACGAAATGAGCACACATAGCAAGAAAAGTCATAAGCTATTGGGACAGTAACTTTGTGCAGCTTTGCAGAGGAATTTGGCAGAATATATGGAATGCTTTAAGATGTGTGTGTTTTTGTCAAGTAATTCTGGAGATTAGCGTAGAAGAGCTGTTCCCCTCTGCCCACCTTACTCCAACCCTATCCTCAGAAATGTCCTAACCTGGGGACACAGGGAGGGGTAGGGGAAGGTGGGGTGTAGGGGCAGGGAGGAGCCAAGTATTCTGGGGACTGTTTGGACTGGAAACACTCCCTGCAGTCCATATTGAAGTGCCTTGTTTCTGCTGTGCTTCCAGATGAAGACGGTTAGAGTGGCCTTGGTCCTGTGCCTGAACGTGGGTGTGGATCCTCCTGATGTGGTGAAGACCACACCCTGTGCACGCTTGGAATGCTGGATTGGTAAGTGCTTCACTCTCCCATGGGCACCTGCCCTACATGTCTCAGAATCAAATTTCTTTTTGATCCTTTAAGTAACTTTAGTTGCCTTCACCTTTATTTTGTAGCAGAGAAAATTAATAAAGTCATGACTTGGTTTCTATAATTTTTTTTCCTTTTAAACCTGCTAGAATATGGCTTATGCCTATATGTGGTGCATAATGGAGCTACATGCACTTCTGAAAGGATGAATGGCTTGTGCCTGTGTGCAAGTGTATTCCTAGAAAAAGTGAATATTACCATTTTCAGCAAAGCGTTGGCTCACACATTGTAGAGCGCGTACAGCGTGCTGAGGACTGCCTGCCTCGGCACTCCCAGCTTAGCCCTTTTAATCTGTACCTGGAGATGCCCGTTCTAGTGTTGTTCCTGCAAACTGAAATTAGACCAGGGGACCCTCAGCTTGTGCCACTCAGGAGCACTTTCACTGCCTTCCTGAGGGTCTTTATTGGAAGCTCACACAAGAGTTTGCACATAAGTGCTCAAGCAGTGCGGAACACAGGAATTTCCCATCACAATAGGAGAAAGCAGCACAGAACAAGGCCATGGCCACTGACCCAGTAACAGCTTCCTTTGATTATATGTAGAAACATAAATGGGGGCAAGGGGCAGACAACCTGTCCCTGCATTCCAGCAACCGCTGTCTTATTGTTCGGCTCCCAGCATCCTGGGAGCAGATTTTCCCCTTCTCAAGCCTCTGCATCAACAAATTCTGAAAAGTCTGTTAACAGTGAAACAAGTGCCAGGAGCCTGTTAACTGTAAGTGAGCAGAGTGCTACTGTCCTTAAGGGACAAGCAGAGTAACTACATACACAAAATCCTTTGTGGTGCTTTTAAATGTGAATTTGTGTGTGTGCATATGTGTGCATGTGTATCAGAGAACCTGTGGGAGTCAGTTCTCTCCTTCTACTGTGTAGGTTCCAGAGATTTGAACTCAGGTCTTCAGACTTGGCAGCACGAACCTTGAACTGGTGAGCCATCTCACTGGCCTCCTGCCCAATTTTTATGGCTAAGGAAAATGAAATATGTATGAGTTTTCCCTAAGTTGTTCTGCAGGTGAGCCCCACCTAGCTAATGTTACTTCACAGTCACATCAGGGGCACTTCGCTCAGAAGGACTTGTGCTTTGCCTACGTTGAGAACTTTTCATTTGCTCTTTACTAAGGTGGGTGTACCGGGTGACCCTGGCCAAGTGACTCCCAGCATAGGTAAGGAAAAAAGAATCTAACGATTGCTTCTGTGCTCTCCAGCAGTCTGAATCTTATTTTGAAAAAAAAGATTTCCAGGGCTTGGAGAGGTGGCTTAGCGGTCAAGAGCACTGGATGCTCTTGCAGAGGACCCAGGTTTGGTTCCCAGCACCCACATGATGGCTAACAACCATCTGTAACTCCAGTTCCAAGGGATCTGACACCATCTTCTGGCCTCTTGTGGGTTAAAATAATATTTTAGCAGGGGCAGTTGCACATGCCTTTAATCCCAGCACTTGGGAGGCAGAAGCAGGTGGATCTCTGTGTGTTCAAGCCAGACTGGTTTATATAGTGAGTTCCAGGCCAGCTGGGGCTACAGAGAGACTCTGTCTCAATAAAAGGACACACACATACATATATATATTTTAAAATTTATTATTTTTATTTTATGTGTATGAGTGTATTGCCTGCATGTATGTAAGTTCACCTGTGTTGTGCAGTGCCCATGGAGGTTAGAAGAGGGCATCAGGTTCCCTTTTCAGTGGAATTATGGATGGTTATTAGTTGCCATGTGGGTACTGGGACTCAAACCCAGGTCTTCTGAAGAGCAATTTCTGAGCCATCTCTTCAGCCCCTGGCCTCTGTGGGTTTTGCATGACATGGGGGCACTTAACATACATGCAAGCAAAGCATTCATACACATAAAAGATAAAAATAAATGAATTTTAAAAATTAAAAGAGAAACAAGAAAAAAAGAGATTTCCAGCATTGCAAGCAGAGTAGTAAGAAGTTTCCTGGCTCAGTGACTGTTGCTTGGGAACTCTTGAGTACTAGGTACTGCCCACAGGAAGTCTCCTTCAGGATGAGATCCCAGCTTGTTCCTGGCGGGGAGGCGCCTGGAGGTTGCTGCTAGGTGCCAAGGCATGGAGCCTGACCAGTGCCATGTATTGCCCTGACTTGGTCTCCCGCTGTGGCATGCCTTGAGGAGATGCTTTTGAAGATCTTGGCCCTGGTTCTGTAGTGTCCCTGACGTTTGGCGGAGGACTGCAGGAGGGGTCTGCGAGCAGTGTCAGGTGGTGCATGGTTTTCATTTACGTGGTCCATCATTTGTGCTGTCCAACCCTGATGGAGCTGGGACCTGTCTGACATCACTGTAGCGGGTTTGTGGCACTCCGTTCCTTGGGTAGAGGTGCTCAGAACCACCCATCCAGCTGCCAGCCAGTGCTGTGGCTTTCAGGCATGGTCAGCCAGCTGGGGAAAGTGGGGTTCCAGTTTACTTGTGGTGAGGTGATTCTGAAATTTTCACAGAGAAAGCTGGAAAGGTCTTGGTGGAGGCTTGTGTAGCCTGGAGACTTGGGGGGTGCAGCGGGCATGCCATGAACAGTGACTAAAGGTTCGGACACTGTTGATGCAGAGAGGAAGGGTGGTGTGAGAACAGGAGGAGCCTGTGGAAGAGCCAGGTCAGTTCCAGAGGCCTAAAGATGGAGGGTCAAAAGCCTGTATAGGTCATACAGCATCTTGGCCAGTGAGGTGACAAGGGGACCTGATAGTGGTAGTTTCCAGGCTTGGCATGTACCGTTGGGACAGGACCCTGGTAGGGCTGTGGGGGAAGTTTTCACTTACTGGGTTGCTGTCAACTGACTTTCAACGATGCTGCCATTTAGAAGGCTGCAGACCTGTGTTTTATGTTTGGTCTCAGCATTTTGTGCTGTCAACAGAAATTGAAGACCTCATCAAGACCCAGCCTCCATTCATCCCAGCTTTGCTGTACTTGCCTAGTTGCTTTGAGTCTTGTTTCTTCCTGTAGAGAGGAGCTAACAGTGTCACCTACTTCATGGCTAGAGGGGATTGACTAGGACCTTGGACTCAGCTCCACACAGAGACTGGATTGGGCAGGGGCTTCCTTATGTGAAGCCTGTACGCCAACCTCACTGTCCACAAGCCATCTGGTCTGTTTGTACTGCTATAACAAAACACATGCGCAGAGGTCATTAGTAATTAACAGAAGTTCACGGTTCACAGTTCTGCAGAGACTGGGAAGCCCAAGATCAAGGCACTAGCCAATGATGTTCCTGGTGCCAGGTTTCTGCTTCTGAGATGGTCCCTGAACACTGCTTTTATGTGGGACACGGCTTTTATGTGGGACAGAAGGACAGAAGGGTATAGCTAGTTCCCTGCAGCCTTTATAAGGTCTCTAATCCCAGTTACAGGAGCTCTTCCTTTGTGACTTAATCCCTTCCTTCAAGCTCCATCTCCTAACACTGTCACATTTGAGGTTTATGTTCAAACCTATGAATTTGGGGGACCCATTCACATCATAGTATCAACCCCGGTACCTTCTCCTCCTCAATACCCCACTGTCTACATCTTCCTCTCAACAGACCAGGGTGCCAGGTGCTTCGCTGCCCCTGTGTGGCTGAAGGATTGGTGCAGCAAGCATACCCCATTTAACTGTTATGAAGTCTGCTGGCTTGCGCATGCTGTGCTTTCAGGGCCAATGTCTCCAGCAGATGTCAGATAGAATGCATGGTGTTCTCATTCTGTTTAACAGATTAAAACATGTAGTGTGCTGGGTACCATCAGCACATCCTGTATCTGCTGGAAGCTGTGACTCTGACTGTTGGTCTTGTAGAGCTGCCTGTGCTGGGTTGTGACTGCTTAGATCTCAGAGGTGAGGGCCTTCGGGAGGATCTGTTCATCTTTTGTCTGTTTTGTGCACCTGTACATGTACCACCCGAGCTCATGTCAGATAGACTCCTCAGGCTTCTATGAACATGTATCCGTGCCTGTGAGGAGAAAGGCTGGATGGTACAGTACTGTGCTAAGGGCCGAATGGCTTTGCTCTTGGTGATGACTTCTTGTTGTGGCTGTCCTAGATACAGGACATGAACCATGAATGTCAGAATGAGACATTGCTGTCTGGTCCTGAGGAACTGTATGCTCTTGAGTGACCCTTGCCCCTCCTCTGTGTGAAGATACTGCTTTGCCTTCTGGAAATGACTCCTGCTCTTCAGAAAAGCAAGCGAGGCTGTTTGGTTTTTTGGGCTGACATTAACTGCTACAGCAGCAGCACTGAAAACAGGCCCGCTAGCTGTGTGTGCCTAGTGCTTGTTAGGGCACGTCTGCCTGACAGCAGAGTGCAGAAGAGCTGACTGCTGAACAGGAGCTAGTGTAACGTAGCTGAGGACGTTTCCTGTGCCAGCCTAGTGACAGGCATGTGAGAAGGGGAAGGGATGCCCAAGGTTTGTCCAGCCACATGGTGATTCTGTTATCCCAAAGAATTCTTGGGTGATATGTCTTTGCTTGTTCCCAGGTAGACTATTTCTTCTCCCCTTGATCCTTGTGTGGGCATTAAGAGGCTCTGAGACAGTGCAACTAGCTGCCCTTGTGCACAGTACATGCACAGAGCCTGCCACCAGCTGTGGAGATCAGACTGGAACCACAGATCAGAGACTAAGAGGTCAACCTTGTGGGTGGAGGTCAGGTGGGTGGGGCTCTGCAGCTGGACCAGACCTGCCTTTGAAGAGTTGAGTTTGGAGCTCCAGGTGGTTACTTAGACTCAGTGATCTGTTAGCTGCGGCCAGTGGCTCTTTGGGCTATGGTGTAGCTCTAGACCTGCATTTGAACTTTTGCTTCTGGGAACTCAAGGTTCACAATACTGTATTCTTTGTCCTGTTGTGCTGGTATCTCAAGGTGGTAACTCTGTTCCCCTCTGAGGGAACAGGGAATAACCACTTGCAGTCGGTTCCCTTACTCTTTTCCAGTGGAGTTGTGTGTAAAC